ACATACATATACATACATACATATATATATATACACATATACATATATATATATACATATATATATACATACATACATATATACATATATATATACATACATACATATATACATATACATACATACATATATACATACACATACATACATACATATATACATACACATATATACATACATACACATATATATACACATATATATATACATACACATATATACATACATACACATATATATACACATATATATATATACATATACATATATACATACATATACATATACATACATATATACATACACATATATATACATATACATACACATATATATACATATACATATACATATATGTATATATATATACATATACATATATGTATATATATATACATATTCGTATATGTACATACATATACATATATGTACATACATATACATATATGTACATACATATACATATACTGTATGTACATACATATACATATACTGTATGTACATACATATACATATACTGTATGTACATACATATACATATACACATACACATACATATACACATACATATACACATATATACATACACACACAAAACTCATTTATTTTATTTTTACGTTCGTTAGTAATTATTTTTTTAATACTGTTATTATTATTACCTTTTGATTTTATTTTATTATTACCTTCTTTTTTATTTAATTATTTTTTTAGTTTCTATTTTAGTTATTATTTGATGCTTATCTCATTCGTTCTCATCACATTTCAACAAATGTAAAACAGCATGGTGCTTTAAAAAAACATTGTTGAAGCTTGTCTCAGTGACGAATATGTTTTTTTGGGGTTTTTAGTCATTAAAATGTGATTTATCACCTATAAATTTAATTTATAGGTGATATTGAGACAACAACCCATACGCAGCTGCATGGCAGCACAAGTGGTCCGAAAATAGCCTCAACACAAACAGTACTTTGTGGAAACACTGGCTGGTCGGACGGCTCTTTGGGACCTGAAGCACCTCTTTAACGTCCGCTGTCACCACAAGCTGTGTTGTAAGGCAGAGAGTCCTCAGTTCTCTGAAAGGTTGTTGTTTCTCTAAAGCCCACATATGGGAGGTAAACGTGGAAATAGGGTTATCCTCATATCTCACCGCATTTTAAAAAACAAAAAAAACACAGCGCAATGAAAACTCATTTGATCAAATGGATGCTACTTGTTTTTTAAAGTTCACTAAGTCCGTGTGGCGTTTTAAGTATCTCCATCGGGTATGTAATGGAATAACTTTGGGAGACGGAACGGCAAAGAAAGTATTTAGGGAGAACAAACAAGCCCTGTGGTAAAGCCCTGCTCCAATTCTCCATTTTTATTATCCTTCAAAGTATTTAGAGTATTGCATTTCAGCATAAAGTCAGCGAGACAAAACGCACTGTTCTCCGACTCAGACTTGTCGTGTGTGGCGTTTTCTATTGGATTTTCTTATGAAAACTGGATTATCAATAAAACTGAATTATATCTCCCATAATGTGTTGATGTGTTTGAACTTTACTTAACTTTACTTGAATGAAAAGGCTGCATCATGCTGCTCACCTCTAGCAGCTCTGAGACGATTGGCAGGCCCTCTGGGTTGCAGATGTCGATGGAATCGTCCCTGTAGGTCTTCTTCTTGTAGCGGATGTTTCCCAGGTGGAGGATTGCTGACAGCAGGGAGAAAATCCTGACAAAGGAGAACAAAGTTATTGTTGATATATTTACATTACTTTTGGGCAACTAAGCTACCGTCTTACTGGGCTTGTTTTACGATAAATAAAGAGATTCTATGCTCAGAGGAAACCTTGTCATCGTGTGCAGTACTGCCATTGAATGGTCTCTTTATTCAGCCAACTGATGCAAAAACAAATCAGATTAAATATTCATCTTTAAATACTTAATAATTAGTCTGTTTCTGCTGGGCCTGATAATGTTTCCACAAAAAATGTAATTTTTTATTCTACTTACAAGACTCCTGACAGTGATTCTAACCGACATGGCTGAGGTCCACATGTACATATTATTACGACCAAACTGCTCATCTTACTGTTTGCATGTGGTGGGTAAGAAGCCGACCATCTCCATAGCCAGCTGCAGACGCTCAAAGTCATGTTTCAGATCCTCTCCTTCCACTGTGAAGCAGTCCTGCTGGTGTCAGGTGGAAACACACAAACACAGGAAAAGAGAGGAAGACAGAGAGAGACATCAGCACCACAAAGGATTTTTAATGAATATGCACGTAAACTTAACTAAAAACTGCTTATGTCATATATAAAACTATTCCATTACAAATGGCGAAGACTTGGCTTGTATCTATATAAGCTAAATGAGTATATGTGTGACTGAGCAGGGTTTCACACAGTATTTCATGTGCTTCACTTTGTCTGAATAAAGAGGAACTCTGCTAACATTAGAGGAAGTTATTGCACCTGAAAATGAAATGAATCAAGTCCCAGGTCAAACAACAACAAAGCCAGAGTCAAGTCCAAGTCCTGAACTTTAGAGTCCTTAGCAAGTCATCATGTGCCCTTCACCAAAATGAAAAAGAAATAATAAGTGCTTTTTAAAGTATCTATGTGTATGACTTTCAAATACACTTTACAAAAAAATCATTATTGAGGTGTGTCTTAGTATTCTTGTGATATTTGACTGGCTGCTTTCGGATTGACTCAAAGACTTTTCTTCATGTGAATACTTTATTTATAACATAATTGGGGAAAGTGATTTGTTTCATTCTAAAAAGGCTTTTTTTTTCAAAAACCAACATGGCTTAGTTCAAATAAACCTCATCTCGTCTCTGATTTTGACATCAGATGTCATTCCAAGTCAGAAGGCCAAAGTCAAAGTCACGAGTCATACGCGTCAGAGTCAAAGTCAAGTTTTTGGTCTTTTGAATTGTGTCAAGTTGAGTCTAAAGAGAGATTAAGATTCATGATGCGAGTCTAAACCACATGACTCGAGTCCACGCGGCGCTCCTCCGGCAGCAAAGGCCACATCTTTAATGGATAAGACCACCGCGGAGAAACTAAACTGATTACCGCAGATTCAATGTGGTCATGGTTGTCCGACTCTGGCTCAGCAGACGACAGTGATAAATCAATCAAACGGTACATTCGCTGTAAAGTGATTAATGAAAGCGGGACACGTCGCGATGTCAGAAAAGACAGAAATTCTTCTGCAGTTGAGGAAACGCGAGCCAACCTCTTCACACAGAAATGTACTCATGAGTGCATTTCTATGTGAGTGGGAGACACTGACATCATACAGTGACAGTAAAGGATGGAGAGAGTGAGGACGTGTATGTTTACAGTGATGTGTGTGTGTGTGTGTGTGTGTGTGTGTGTGTGTCTCCTCAGGGCCTCCGGTCGGTCAGCATGTCTGCTCCGGCAGCGAGCCTCTCTCAGGCTGTAATTAGCGCATACCACAGCGACCGGCCAGCGAGAGAAGACACAGGAACCCATAATCCCCACTCTGGGTTGCCTCCTCTCCGCTTTAACATTCAGCACTCCTCCGCCTCTCCATTGTTTTCACTTTGGCTCAGAACTCGTCGGTAACTGCGGAGCCAACGATCTGCGATTTTCTCCGGCGAGCGTCTCCAATTGCAAACAAAAGGGGTTTTGAGGCTTCTCGAGCAACGGCGAGAACCGGGAAAAGACAGTTTTCAAATTGCCGGGTATGTTCGACCTCAGCGCCGAGCAGCACAATACGATACGTTGGAGGAAGTTGAGAAAATAAAGAGATTTTGACAGGTTGCGTGGGAATGCTTTGGTCGAAAACCAAAAACCTTGGCTGTTGGTACTTCTTAAGTGCAGTGAAGGGATGATTACTAAACAACGTTATTTTAAACAAAGGACCTTCTCTCCCTCACAACTTGAAATCGTAATGTTATGCCAGTTGCAACACTCCCGGTGCAGGCTTACACCACTTAATTGAGTCAAGTCAGGAGCCCAGCTGACGCAGCACTTTTCAACAGATCGCTCATGGATCCAGTTAAAAGTTGATGTGCATCCAGTCGAGGCTCTCCTGCTACTTACCTTGACTTAATCCTGATTTATGTTGTCGAGGCACCCGGTCGACGTTAAGCCAAAAACAACATGCCAGCCCGTCACTAGACATTCCACACAACCAAAAACCATAGACACCCAAACAGGCACAGAATGCAAAACCCCCACAGCCACAGAGGCCCAGCATCAAACACCCAACTGCAATCATCAAATGCAAACATCCGGAAAATGTTTGGTCTTTGGGATCTTTAGTCAAATACTTTTTCTTTTTTTTATAAAGTCACTCTGGTTTATTTTCTATTTTTGAATCCAGACATCTGGAATGTGTGTACTCTTGTCACTGTTTAAAGCAACGGGTGTCTCCATTTACTGCAGCGTGCCCCCCCCCCCCCCCCCCCCCGCCCCCCCCCCCCCCCCCCCCCGCATGTTGACCAACGGTAGAGGTCAAGGGTTAAATAGGCCCAAAGGGCCGGTCAGATGCTCAGACAGCTGTCAAGAGCTGCTGAGCTTTCTCTGTGTGTGTGTGTGTGTTTGTGTGAGAAGGTTTGTCAAGACGGTGACATCATCTCCTTGGACGGTGGGGTCGCAGACTGATGAGGTCATTGACTGACCCTTGAGGGAGACATTGTGTCAGCAAACAGTGAGGCGGGATGTTGTGTAAGGAACGAAATATGACAGAGAGGAGCCAAAGGAAAAAAAGAGTAGAGAGAAGAAAACAAAGAGGCCTTGAAGTTAAAGGAACAGTTCATCATTTTGCTTTTTGCTTCCTTTGCGAGAGTGAGATGAGAGGATCGATATAAATCTCATGTCTTTTGTTAAGGCGAGGCACATTTATTTGTATAGCGTAGCGGCTTTCACATGAAAAGGATTACAAAAGGATTACAGTGCAAGTTAAATATATGTAAGAATCAGGGCGTGGTTAGCCTAGCTTAGCATAAAGACTGTGGAAGCAGCTAGCCTAGCTCACACTTAGAGCACAACAACACTCAATGTATGTTGTTTTGTTTAACCATTACATGAACATAAATATTAGATTTTATAGTGAGTTATATCCTCCATTTCCGCTCATTGCTACTGTGCAGCATATTTGGCCATAATGTGGGTTACAAGTTAGCATGCAACTCCGACCAAAACCAGAAATGGTCTCCTTACATTTTTGTTTATGTATTGGTAGACAAACTAAATACAGTGTGTGAATAAGGCAGCTTCACTTGTAATAGGTGTAGACGTTCACTTAAGACAGAGCCAGGCTAGCTGTCTTTATGCTAAGCTAGGCATAACACATCCTGACTATCTCCATATCGGAACGCATTGACATCAATCTTCTCATCTCACTCGTGGAAAGAAAGCAAACAAGTAATATAGCAGTAATACTAGTATATATATATATATATATATATATATATATATTCTTTGAAAAGAATAGTCAACTGAAAGTCTGTCTTCCTCCCCTCGAGGCTTTCTGTGAAACCTTTGTAGTGTTGTAGCTGATTCACAGAAGTTACGATGGTTTTAAAACGGCAACGCAGAAACACATTAATCAAAAGTTATTATAAATAGTATAAACATCTCAAATCACTCAGGCAGCAAAATCCACTGAGCATGCTCAGTATGTTTCAAACAATGTTTACTTTGCCTATAAATATGCTACTTCCATTGCTGGAGGCTTTCTCTGCAGGAGTGATTTGAAAAAGGATAGACAGGAAATACTTCTACACATTTTTTGCTTTGACGCTGGAATCCATCTCAACTACTGGGAATCCAAAAGGACGACAGCATATCAGAGTCCCTTTTTAAGCACAGAGGAGGGGAGTATTTGATATTCGATAGAAAGATTTAACTGGTTAAATGTGGAGCAGAACCTACATATAAGTTCTGAAAAAGGTAAGTGAGTGTCCTCATAAAACCCCTTCCTGGATAAAGGTACAATTTATTTGAAAGAAGTGGGAGACAAAGAGCCAAAGTCAAGAGGGATCAGTCGAGTCATATTCATACTAATCGACTCATGTCAAGCGTTTGCTCGCCGGCAAAGTCAAAATAACAAAATCTCCTATTAGGAGATACTGAATCCCTTAACCACACAGAAACAAATCCCACTGACCAAACATTACTCACGTCAGGTGGAGACTGGCAAGGCAGTGGCAAGCTCAGAGACCGGCAAACACACACACACACACACACACACACACACACACACACACACAGACGAAATGGACCACACACTTAGAGGGAAGTTTCAGGATGTGAAGCCAATTGATCACAATTGAAACCTTCTCATAGAAAAAAACAGCGTAAGGAAAGAAATAATAATGTTTGCTCGACATTTCCATTATCGTCTCTTGATATTTAAAGTTATTGTTCGGCTGTCATGAACTTCTCTATTACATGTTTTTGTGGTAACTGGGGTAATCAAAAACTCAGTTTTTGATACTCTCTGTGGTCAGACTTTTTCAAGCAATAGACGTTTAATGTAATTCAATTCTTTAATCGCGCCTTTATATAGTAATTTTCCATTGTTGGTGGCGGGGTCCGCCATTCCTGTGCAGGATTCTAATTGCATATTGATGCGCGAGTGTAATCCAGTAATTTTATCTCAATGATCAAAGTGTTACTCTCACACAGCCTTACAATGGCTGCATTTAGTAACTGCTTCTTACTGCTGCTAGCTCACATTCAAAGCACAAGTACAAGCACATCAAAATGTGTGTACATCCTGTAAATACTTCTCTATGAAGTACTTTTTATTGTGGTGGAGTCCTGCAGGAAATTATTCATGTAATGCAGGCCAGATTCTTCTCATTGATGTCAGCCTCACTGTTTACTACCTCAACCTTTCCTACTGTCGCTGCTTTACATTAAATATGATCTTGAGTTTGTCATCAACCTGATGCTTATTTAAACACCCAGCAGATACAGAGCATAATGCCATGGTATTATTCTCAAATATCTGTATTTGTACTGGATAAAAACATTTAATAGTGATCATCTAAAAAAGAAAGTTGAATGCTTATAATAAGAAAAGGTTTAATTGATGTATTTGCAACCATCAGTGTTTGATTGACCACCTAAAAAAACATTTATATATATATATATAAAAGGCTCTTTATATTTCATGTTCCCTTTCTGCACTTGAATTTAACAGCATGCTGTTGAACGTTGCTATTATAATTTCACTTTTTAAAACATGGGAGGTAATAAATTGAAATGTAGAAGTGAAGGTAAAATCCTGAACCTTCCCTTTAAAGATGTCGGTTTCCAGGTTTGACGTCATCAACCAATCGCCAGACAGCAAAGCGTCCAAAGCCAGAAATTTGATTAAAGGAATTCCTTAATGTTTGACTTTTACTTGGTCAATCAGCGTTCATCTATAAAGTCATTTCAGGTGAATGTCTCTTTTTTGCAACAAAACTTACAGTAAATTACATATTTTTTTCAGTGTCAAATCACACTTTAACTGAGATGCTTTAAACGTACACAAATATCTTGAGACAAAAGAATTAAAGTTGTTACATTAAAGGTATCCCTTTAAACATTTTTCATTATCGAGCTGAGGTCAGTTCAGGTCGCCTCCATCTTTAGTCCATTTCAGTGAAAAGCAGGCGGGCGAGAGAGAACAAGACCCAAGACTGGCACCATAAAACACCAGAGAGCCACGACACACCCAGTGAGCACAGACGTACACAAACAACTCGTCATCCACATGATACTGACCAGATCGCTCTCATAGTAATTGTCCCAGTGGAGTTTGTGCGATTTCTTTGTCATCTGGAAGCAAGGCAGAGCGGGTTAAGAAGGCAGGAATTACACACCATGAATACGCACACGACTTGAGAAAGATGAGACATGCTGTTAAATATGTGAGGAAACAAATGACCAATCCTCACACACACAAGCAGACACGCATACACACATCTCCAGAGCGGCAGTCAGTTATTCCATGATGGTGGAGGTTATGTTTTGACTTTTTTTACACTACGTACACAAAGTATTGAGCTTTTTTACTGAAGTAAAAGTAGCAATAAACTGTAAAGAATACTCCATTACAAGTACTGCAAATTATCCACGAAATCTTACTGAACTTAAAGTACAGAAGTATTACCTAACGATAATTAAATTGTATATTAATTACATTGTGGAAGTAGCATTTTAGGGTTTTAGCTGGTCACACTGGAGATAATTTACACTTGTATAATTCAAGTACATGTACCACAAAATGTATGTACATCCTGTAAAAAACGTCTTCATTAAGTACTTTATATTGTGGCGGAGTCCGCCATTGCTGCGCTGGATTGCCTGCTTTAGTAAGAGAGGGATTCATAGGAAATGATATCTACCTCACCCTTTCGTACTGTCGCTGCTTCACATTAAATATGAGCTTAACAACCTGATGCTTGTTTACACATCCGGCAGATACACAGAATATTAGCCTGATGATTGCAAGTCAAATATTCACTCTTTGCTCTGTTTTTGGTCTCTACCGACTCCAACTACAGGGAAATATCTGACTTTTTAGAAGCTAAATGCTCCACTATTATCACCAGCGAGACACTAACTTTGTCTGCTAGGGAGTAGGTAGTGCATATTTAGAGATTTTACCCTGAAAACAGCTGCCTGTCACAGCCAAAAATGACGTAAAGACACATTATGAGAGCTGTGAGAGTGAAGCAACGCAGAAGTTGAGGGGAGCTGCAGATTCACGAGGTAATTCTCTTTAGGATCGTCACAATAAGTGACCCTTTGTCACGTTGTCATGTAATATTTCATTACTTCAGGATTACAGTAGCCTACTCGAGAAAACATACTTGGTTACAAGAACACACAGAGAACAAACTCTGAGAGAGATAAATATGGAAATATGGATAATCATTTTGTTCCTCTGTGACACCACGTGTGTCAGGAGTGTGTGTTTACGTGTGTGTGTGTGTGTCCCTGAAAGACAGAAGGCTTGCTGTGTGTCGTGCACACGCTCTCACACACACACACACACACACACGCACGCACACACACACGCACGCGACCGCCGGCATCCTCTGCACGAGATCAAGTCAGCGCCAGATTAACTCCTGAGTATTGCAGTTGCCATGGAAACAGGGCTGCATAGTAACAGGCAGTCGGCAACAGAAGATGAGGATGGGGGGAGGGGGGGTTGTTGTCGTGGGGATTAAGGGAGGAAAAAAAAACCTGTTACTTTTTCGGGGAAAAGAGATGAACAAAGGGGGGGGGGGGGTTTGCCTCCTCAGTGTGCTGCCATAGGAAGAGGGAATATGAAGCCTCACGTATCTGCTGCCAACACACACAGATGTACTGCAGAAGATGGACACATATAGGGGATTTTTTGGCATGTACACAAGCATGTAAACAACCCCCCCCCCTCGCCACACACACACACACACACACATCTGAGACACAGTCACAGATGCAGGGTGGAAATTTCTTGAGCTGCTGCAATCAACACTTCAAAGCGTTGAGCAGTGATCCAGTTATGATAAATGAGGGAATAAGATCCAACAGAGAGAAAAGGAGGGAGGGGGGGAGGCCGACATTTTCAAAGACCATCTTCAGGGTGTCCATCAATCTCTCAAGCTTAATTTTTGTGAATTGGTGAAGGGAGAAAATATTAATTTCCATCACATGGGCCTCATGCAAGAACAACTTGCACAAACAGATTTGTTTGTGTGCGGGACGTACGGGCGATTTAAGAGAATTTGTGGCATTCACCAATTTTCCTCAGATTTACATTTTTCTCTTAGCTACTCACTAATCTACGAGTGGTATTCTGCCTTTCTTCGCAATTAAAAAATACATTTCATGCTTTAATCTGAATACATTTGGAATTTAAAGATAAGATTGAAATCTCTGGACCCTATTTCCCCGTGTGTTTGTGTCTAACAGACTAACTGGGACAACGCATTGTAAAATGGGTTCAGTATTAAGGGAGTACGCTTTAACCGGCTGCCACAAAGCGAGCCCCGAGGGCATTTGTGCACCTCAGTGTAACGTTACATTCACTAAAATGCTTGTTTTTGCAACCGGAATGCTCAGATTGTTGTAATAAGTGTCTGAAAACATTACGAAAAGAAATCAAATCAAACTCTTAAAATCACAATAATACAAATCCTTTTTCCGGTTTTTTCCTTCTTTGACGCTGGCAGAAACAGGATTTTAATCACTTGACGGGCAACATAACAGGATTTGCATGAATATATATCAACGTGGAGTTATTTTTTTTGTACTGAATTCTGTGTTGTCTGCTTTTGTGTGTGTGCCGACCTGGTTGAGGTAGTGGTATTCCTCAGGTTTCAGCAGGTGGAAGGACTTCCTCTCCTCTTCGCTGGCTCCGGTCAACAGGTAGTAGAAAACATGGTAATTCCTATAGACACACACACACACACACACACAACAAGTTCGAGGGGATGATTCTTTAACACAAAAACACGTTTCCCGTATTGATTTCTCAAATCATTTTAAATTCCCTCTGAGCTGAACTGAGGACAGCAGCTTTCACATCTCCTCGCTCTGCCTTAAACGACGCCTCGGGGAGGAGACTCCATTCAGAGATTTTTGGAGTAGAGTACAGTGGAAAAACTCTCCATCTGCACCCTACAGTATGTCACAACTCAAACCTGCAGCATGTAATAAATAGGTCACACCTCTCCACCCGACGGGCTCGCGTTTCAAGTCAAACAAAGCGTCAGTGTGGTGTGTGTGTGTGTGGGCTGGAGGTTAGGACTGGTGCCTCTGTGACAAAGGCTGTGGCCTCGGCCAACGCACCCAGATGTAATTTTATTACAGCTGGAAACGAGCTTCCCTGCTCTGCACAGGGACACTTAATGCCTGGTGGAAAGTTAAAAAGCCCAGAAAGGATATGAAAGAATCCCAATCTGTGACTGGTGGATGGGTAGAAGGATGTTTTAAATGAAACTGAGACGTAGTGAGAGTTAATGAGCTTCTGAACAATACCTCTGTGAGTAGTTTTACTATTTCCATAACTGTCACTGCTCCTGCCGTCAAAACAGTCACTTTGAGCTGCGAAATGTGACCTGAAATTAACTTCAAGGTAATGTTTCTATCAATGTTTCTCTCTAACAAATAGAACTTCATCTATGTAATCCTCCTGAAAATGTTACCTCCATCTACTACAGACATTCAGATGATTATTGAAATGAACCTTAATGAACATTTACTGGCAATACATATTTAATGAGCTTCCACAATAGTGGCTTAGCTGTCTGGCTTGCTACAGTCACAGCACTAAAACACTAACACTGACGCATGAAGATCAGGTTTCTTGATGATTACATTTCCCTGAGCACAGCCATTACAAAACCAGTGCCCTTGACCCCAAAAGCTGTTTTTTTGCTGACCTGCCCAGAGGCTCATTTACAGGCAGTAGCCATCAACAGAGCCATGCTAGCTCTTTCCCACTGCTCCTAGTCTTTGTGCTAAGCTAAGCTAACCTGGTGGTGGTCACATTTATCGTACAGATCTGTGATGAGTGCTTCTTGGCAAGAAGGCGGAATAAACAAATTTCACAAATGATTTCTTTGATATGTTTTGGTTTTTATTTGTATTTAGTTTCTTCTATGTGAGCCGTCTAGATGTCCGGTGACTCACAATCTGAAACAGTTTATGTATTAAGTATGTTTTGCATATACAAAACCTTTGGTGATTGGTGCATGACAATAAACAGAGTGCTACACTATAAGACTTGAATAAAAATATGATAATTTAAACAAACAATATAAGATTACGTTAAAATAAGTTTATTATTAAGGCGTTAAGTGTGTATTTTAAAGTGTAGAGTGGATGTAATTGTCTTACAATTGAGTTAATGGTAGAGCACTATTATAGCTACGACTGTTAGCACTATTAATGAACCTCAGTGCAAACTTAAACCTAAAACCATGCTACTAATAATTTTAGACAGAGGTTGCTGAGTAAAGTCACAGCAGAGTCATAAAGCACAACGGCACCACTGGAGAGTTCAGCTACTCTTTTATTTCCTCACTCTGAGGTCGTACAGAGGCAACCTGTCACGATACTGGAGTTAAGATTTAAGATAGTTTGTGGTTCATCATCAGCCCGCCTGCTCCCCCCACCTCTCTGCTTCAGGTCTGAGCATCTGGGGGGGTCCCGTCTTCAGTTCCTACCCTATTAATATGGCCGCCAGGGCCTGTCATCAGGATGAAATAGAAACCCAGAGGCCGATCAGGGTTAGAGGGATTAGATGACCGGTGGAGGGTTTTACATTGTTTTTTCTCCATCACTCAAAAGCTATTACGCTGGTGGGACCTGTGATGCGTTGCTTTTAAACCGTCGCCTAGAAGAGATGAGCGATACTGAGCCGTTTTAGGGATGTAGGTACAGGTGGACATTCCTGTGCATATGTTCATGTTTGTATGTGTGTGTGTCTGTGTGGGTGTGTGAGTGTGAAAAAATAAGTGACGGTGAAACCGATTTCTATGAAATATCTCAGGATCTATTTTCTCAAAAATAGTTCTGATGCGTAATTTGTGTGATTAAACAATCATGTCCTGTGTGTGTAAATGACCACACTCGGAGTGGAACCTGACAGTTTGCAGTGTTAATTCAGAAAGTAAAGGGCAGAGGCCTTTGTCAGATGGACACCCGATATATATTCTCAGCTTGCAGAGGAAATGACGGCTATTTTAGTATTAGGTTTCTTAGACAAAGACAAATCAGTGCAGAGATATGGATTTGACATATTATCTCTCAAACAAGTAGGATTATGGCTCTATTCTTTCTCCTTTCTTATTCATGGCTGCGCTCGGGTTCCTTCAGGTTCATTCTTCTAATCTTTTAGAGATTTTAAAGGAGCAGATTGATTTAGTTTGGCTTTCTGCTGGAACAAGATCTTGTTAACAGGATCTTAAAACCATCACAATTGAAAAAATGGGTAGAAATTTAAATAAGTAAGCAGCTGAATAACCACCAGGGTCAAAGTGCCTCACTCACCTCTCATTGTGCTCCTGGTACACCAGACGGGATTTCTCCAGCAGGTACTTCTCCACATAGGCTCTAAAAACAAAACATAAAACAGCTGATATTAAGTAAACAACATACATGAAAGAGTTCAGGGGAAAAGAGTTGGCAACACTGAGCTGAGTTTTTCGGTTCGATGGTTTTTAAAATCTGTCTTTCTCAAGATTATCAACCCTGTCTTTAACTGATCTAAATATTAAGTAATTGTTCAGTCACCATTAGTAAGTGATTAAATGTTGCTACTCGACCAATTAGCATTGGTACGACTTCTATATGTCTTTTATATGTGTGTGTGTGTGTGTGTGTGTGTGTGTGTCTCACCCTCTGACAGTGCCACTCTCCTGGTAGTTGACCTGGATGAACTTGCCGAAGCGGCTGGAGTTGTTGTTGTGGGCCGTCTTCGCGTTCCCAAAGGCCTGAGGAGAAAATGGAAACATGTCAGCATGCAGACAGGTGACACTGTCACTGACAGGTACAGGTACAGGTACAGAAAGACGCAGACATCCTTTAAACTACAGCAGAAGGATTAACTGCTCATCAACACGTTGTAGCAACAAGACAAGGTTTTCAGGTCTTCACACAAACTTTATGATGGGAACTGAACTCTGATCCAAAGTGAAAAAATGTGTTCGGAGTCGAGGGGAAAGCTACCAATCACAGAACTGTAACAGAGGTCATGAGGCTCAGGAAGAGGCCCGCAAGAGGCACGCACACACACACACACACACACACACACACACACACAGACATGAGAGGAAAAAGGCAGAGGAGAAAAGAGAAGAGGGGGGGAGAGGAGAGGAATGAAAAAAGGAACCAAGGAGAGGAGAGAAGAGGAGAGGAATCATGGAGAGAAATGATGAGGAGAGGAGAGGAGAGAAGAGGAGAGGAATCATGGAGAGAAATGATGAGGAGAGGAGAGGAGAGAAGAGGAGAGGAATCATGGAGAGAAATGATGAGGAGAGGAGAGGAGAGAAGAGGGGAGAGGAAATGTGGAGAGGAGATACGAGGAGTCAAGTTAAAGAAATGGAACAAGGAAACAAAACAAGAAAAAGAGAGGAAAGCAGGGTAGAAGAGACCAAACAAGGAAAATAGATGAAGCAAGGCAAGGAAACAGGGATGGAAGGGGAAACTAGGAGAATAGGAGATGATAATAGGAGAGGAGATACAGAAGAAATGGAGACAAAAAAGAGGAAAACTGTAGAGTTTGAGAAGAAAACAAGTGGGAGGGGGGAAGAAGGGAAGATCATCTAGGACAGAGGAGATGATGAAAGGAATGAACGAGGGCAGCAGCAAAGAGGAGAAGACGAAACAAAACGGATGACAAGAAGGAAAATGAGGACAGGATAGAAGATCACAAACAAATGAGGAATGACATTAGAAAAGATGAAAGATGGAAATTTAAGAGTGAAATAAGATGATGCGAAACATGAGAAAGATTTAATATAAAAACACATAATATTTCAGCACTACAGTTCACAGAAACAGGGGGGGGGGGGGAAATGAAAAAGAACAAAAAAAAAACCAGGCGAGGGGGGGCAGAGAGAGAAGGGGCGTCAGATAATTGTTTGTGGCTGCTGGGTGAAAACTACAGCTCTGGAATAACACGGTTTAATAAAAGTAAAATCCTGCTCCTTTGATCTCGGTGAGGATTTGTTCAAAAACTCCCCCAACACCGCCGACCTGACACACATTTAAAAGAAGAAAAAAATAACTAATAGAACTGCATTACGGCTCATCTTTTTACGGTGTTTCTCGTTCCCTAGTACACCATACATGTAATACTTATCGTCTCCTTCAAATCCATTTTTCTTTTCCCTCTCCACCAGACCCCTATGAGGCTTTATAAATAAACGTCCATGGGTTGATACGTAATCAACCACAGAAGAAGAGTGGACTGGCAGCGAGATGTGTCTCAGTCCAAAATGTAAATCGAAACTGCAATTTACGTGATAATGACAGAGCTTTCATTCTCAGTAATTTAGTGGATATACGAGCCCTTTTGTGGCAAAATGTTTCCAGTTTTGACTTTTAGAGGAAATTCCGCTTCCTGAAATGATTGAGTGAAATGAGCACCGGCTCTCATGGGAACTGCCAACGACAATCAAACCACTGCTGGTGGAAGACCAGTCGGCAACTGCCGGGTCTAAGAAGTGAAGCCAATGTGGAAGAGCCTTAAACTTGCATTCTCT